GTGCAAAAAATACCTTTAAAAATGCGATGTTTTACTAAAGCGATGTTTTACTGTTTAAAATTATTATGTGTCATTTCAAAAAATTTAAAGCAATGCAGTACTTGTTCTACGTTTATTAAAGTTTGAAAAATATGTTTCATATCCTAAAATAACTAAAAAAAAAGAGAAAAAAAGAAAAGGAAAACTGTAACAAAGAATTACTTCTAAAGATTTTATATCAATGAATAACATAATGAAAAAACATAATGAAATGCTGATGGTATTGAGAGTTAGAATATGATATGTAAAACTATAAGACAAATCCAGCATTTCATGTCATAAAAATGCCCCAAAAATAATAAAAGTTGGAAAAAATTAACAAAAAACTTAAAAAATGCTTTGAAATGCAAAATACGCCCCAAAATTTAAGAAAAAAGCTCCCATAATTCTAAAAAAATGCTCTAAGGACAAAAAAATGTCCGAAAATGCAAATATCATCAAAATCCGGGTCTTAATAATTATGTATTATTTTTGTTGTTGTTGCTCCAAGCCGAGTAAAAATGTGATAAAACAAAACGTCGTGGCAAATTATTTTACGCCCGATTTTTCTCGGAATAATAAATATTTGCAATGTATACAACCCGAACTAACTCGGGATAATCAGGAAAGCTGTTAAAAGTGAAAATAAAAGGATGAAAATCTTACTTGTGAAATATAAAAGGTCTTCCTCTTGTGAATTTTTCTTCGCATCCGTATGCAGAGCAGTAGGCGAGCATTTTTAACTGAATTTTATTGTTATCAAAACACAGATCAGCAATCCACTGCCACAATAAAATACTGGAGATAAAATTTACTGGGGGGGGGGATCGTCTCGGATCTTTGCAACAAGGGAAGGTTCTGTCGATGTAGAAGCCCGTTCCAAGTTCTTGAATCCGAGAACTTGCAGGAATTTCTCTATCCAAGAAATTGGATGATTCGTCGGCACTATCCAAAATATTGAATGTCACAGATGCCTGCGCATGCGCATTTTTCATATTCAACATTTTAAAATCATACTTACACGAATTCAAAATGACTAAGCAAATTCAGATAAAATCATAATAACACGAATAGAGGGTCCCGCATTGGACTAATCGTTAAGACACGGTTCCAAGCAGATCACCAAAGTCAAGCTTCACTGGCTGCGGTCAGTGTGGGTGTGGGTGACCACTTGCATCAGTCTGCGTAGGGACCGAGGGTGTGCGGTATTAGTCCTCGTTAAACTGTTTTACCGTAAAGTGCTCGACTTCGTGCAGGACGTCGGGCTACCGAAGCGGGGGTGCCATCCCCTCTGCAGAGGATCAAAATTGTCAGGGCATGTCTTCTGATCATCCTCAGGCATGTTTCCCAGACCGTCGCCAATAGCCCATTGTGCAGCTCTGGTGCGACGTAAATGAACTACAACTACAACAACAAGATTCTAACGGATTCATTTATTTGGATTAAAATATATGAAAACGGACAGTAAAATGGCATAATCTGATGCCTGCTGGTTGACGTCACGAAACTTTAGAAACTGATTGGTTAAGGGAGGCAAACTTGGATATCAAGTAGAACATGTTCTACTATCATTCAGGGATTTGGCGGGGATCAAACCCATGACCTCTTGGACATCGGCACAATGCCCTACCAACCAGGTTATCAAGGCCCTTTTCTCTCGATAGTGTTATTTTAGTTGTTATTGTTATTTTAGTTGTAGTTCATTTTCGTCGCACTAGAGCTGCACAATGGGCTATTGGCGACGGTCTGGGAAACATCCCGGAGGATAATCCGAAGACATGCCTTGACAATTTTGATGCTCTGCAGAGGGGGTGGCACCCCAGGTTCGGTAGCCCGACGACCTGCGCGCGAATTTGAGCACTTTACGGTAGAGCAGTCTAACGAGGACCCATATCGCATACCCTCGGTCCTTACGCAGCAGACTGATCCAAGTGATCACCCACCCCCACACCGACCGCAACCAGTGATACTTGACTTTGGCGACCTGCTGGTAACCGTGACTTAACAATCAGTCCACTGCGGAATGAGGAAATACTTGGATGGCAAGTAGAACATGTTCTACTATCATCCAAGGATTTGGCGGGAATCGAACCCACGACCTCTTGGACATAGGCCCAATGCCCTACCGACCAGGTTATCCCGGCCCCTTTCTCCCGATATAGCAAATATTAAATATATATATATGTATAATCATCTTTTTAGAAAAAATACCATTTTACCCCTCCCATAAATGTCTTTCAGGCAACACCTGTGAATTTTGCGAAGATAAAAATTAATAATTTATCGGAAATATAAATCCTTGCAAATTGAATTGACTCACTATATGCTTAATCTTAATTCATTTTTTAGACTACTTAATTTGTAAGAATTTAACTTTGGTCACTGTGTAAAGTAAAATATTGTATTTAAAAAACATCTTATAAAAATATCTAAAGAATAAAATATATTATTACCCCTCATAATTGAAGGCAATCATTGCGAAGTATGTTGTTGTAGTTAATTTACGTCGCACTAGAGCTGCACAATGGGCTATTGGCGACGGTCTGGGAANAAAACATCTTATAAAAATATCTAAAGAATAAAATATATTATTACCCCTCATAATTGAAGACAATCATTGCGAAGTAGGTATTTCAATATAAAATAAAACTGATATTCATTTTACATTTCATAAAAGATAAATAGCAAACATTAAGAGGAGAGAATTTTTTTAGATTAAGTATAAATTTGAGTTCGGTTAATTAATATATAATGCATTATAACAGAAATGTATAGTTCAAATCTTTTACTGCCAATATAATTTATATATTACAATTCCAAATTAAAAATAAATTTTTTTAAAATTTCGATTATGTATAGTTATTCTGATTGATAATCCCTCGTTCTTTTCGGAATAGCACCCNGCGGGACTGCGAAGTATGTCAATATAAAATAAAATTGATATTCATTTTACATTTCATAAAAGATAAATAGTAAACATTAACTAGAGAGAATTTTTTTAGATTAAGTATTTGAGTAAGGTTAATTAATAAATAATGCATTATAACAGAAATGTATAATTCAAATCGTTACCTGCCAATATAATTTATATATTACAATTCCAAATTAAAAATAAATTTTTTTAAAATTTCGATTATGTATAGTTATTCTGATTGATAATCCCTCGTTCTTTTCGGAATAGCACCCAATTCTATCTTAAGATTGTTTAAAAAAGATTAATTTGACCGGCATTCATAAGAAGGCTTCTATTATAATCTTTGAAGCATCTTTCTTGTTGTACACTCTGCAGTTCATAGTGAATCGAATGTGTGAGATGTTTAATTATAGGGTAAATTTTAGTATGGGATTTCCAGGTAAGGATAGGACATGCATGCCCAAAGGGAAGAATAAACAATAAGTATAATATTATATTAAGTATAATATTATATTAAGTATAATCTTATGTTTATACTTAATTATATGAGCCGTGGTGGATAGAGTACTCGCCTCTCAATGAGGTGAACCTGGTTCAAATCCCAGCGATAGCTATCGATACGAATTCCGCACCCGGCTCGCACCAACCACACTGCTGACGTAAAAAATCCTCAGTGGTAGACGGATCATGGGTTAAGAGTCCCCTTGCGCGGGAGATTTTCTTGGTTTTCCTCTCCAGTGTAACGCAAATTTCGAGTTAGTTCCATCAACAAGTCCTGCACAAAGGCCAATTTCTTCCACTACATGATCCAGGAATTCCTTTGTTTTCTGGAATGGGTTCAAAATAGGTTTAGGTTTCGGTGTTGAACATTGATAGTCGTAAATTCATACTTAAGCCGTCCCGTAGTGGACTGATCGTTAAGACACGGTTCCCAGCAGATCACCGAAGTCAAGCATCACTGGCTGCGGTCAGTGTGCGGGTGGGTGACCACTTGGATCAGTCTGCGTAGGGACCGAGGGTGTGCGGTATTGGTCCTCGTTAAACTGTGCTACCGTAAAGTGCTCGACTTCGCGCGCAGGTCGTCGGGCTACCGAAGCGGGGGTGCCATCCCCTCCGCAGAGGATCAAAATTGTGATGGCATGTCTTCGGATCATCCTCCGGGATGTTTCCCAGACCGTCGCCAATAGCCCATTGTGCAGCTCTAGTGCGACGTAAATGAACAACAACAACAAAAATCATACTAGAGCCGGCTGTTCAATGCCGTTTATAAAATAAAAAAAGAAAATATTTAATACCATAAAAACTTCAATTGCGTCAGAGCAAACCAATGGTCATAACAGTCAATGTTTCTGTAGCATTCGAAAACAGGTTCCCATTTTCAGGACTCGCTAGACGTGAATGATTTTTAATAACCGTCGTTGAACAGCCGACCCAATTTTGGGCTTACGACTACTCATGTTCAACTCCGCAGCCTTGTCATTTTGAACCCAATCCAGAAGACGAGGAAACTCCTGGATCAACACTCCCGGAGGTATGATTTGTTATGGGAACATGGATGACTTCGTGACTCGACAGATTTAGCGTGCACTGGTCACCATTTACTACACGAGGAGTCTTCTCTCGGCGGGGATCGAATCCACGATCTGTTCGACATGGGCCAAGGGCCCTACCCATCCTAGCCTCTAGACGTGAGTGATTATAACAAAAGAGATTTAGGGTCGGGATAGTCTGGTTGGTAGGGCATTGAGCCCATGTCCAACAGATCGTGGGTTCGATCCCAGGCCAACCGAAGACTCCCCGTGTAGCAAATGGTGCATGCTAAATCTGTCCAGTCACAAAGTCCTCCCATGTTCCTATAACAAATCGTACTTCTGGGGGAACTGTCCCAAGAGTTCCCTCGCCTTGTTGGATTGGTGAAAAAATGACAATGCTACGGAATTGAACATGAGTAGAGGTAAACCCAAAATTGGGTCGACTGTTCAACGACGGATATAGCGAAAGATATTTGAGACAGAAAACGTAATATGAAAAAGAAATGTCATTCCTTTTTGTTTGAATGTATATTTAGATGGAGGATGATGACATGTCCCGTAAAGCATTGAGATGGGCCATCGATGCAGGTTATCGGTTTATCGACACGGCCTTTATCTACAAGAATGAAGCCGTACTGGGACAAGAACTGCAGAAGATACTCGAGGAAGGGAAAGTGAAGAGAGAAGAACTTTTCATAGCCACCAAGGTATTCTCTTCCTATTTCATATACAGTAAAACCCTGTTATAGTGACCGAAAAGTCCGCTCCCGCGTCTTGCTATACACGTATCCTGTTATTTATTGTGGATATAGTGAACCAAAAAAGAGAGGAAATTGGATATTATTAACTTTTATCCGTCTTCGACTCATTTTTTTAATAATAATTTTGAAATTTCTACTTAAAAATAAACACATATGAGCAATTCTACAAATAAACGCCAATTAGGCGGCCAAAAAAGAATAAATTTTTTTGGTGGGGAGGGGCACACTATTTCTACATGAATTTTCTTCTTTTTTATACCCTAAAAAGGCAAGGAAAAAATCGTGAACATGAAATTTTTTCTTTGTGACATACTTTAAATGTGGCATACTTTTTCTGACATACTCAGATAAATCTGAGCCATTTATTCAGATAAAACGATTTTTACATAAATATAATATTATTATAATGTCTCTCTAAAATGTTATTTATAAAGATTTCATACTATAAGATTATATTTTAGTATAAAAATTGGCGTTTATTTGTAGAATTGCTCATATGAGCAATTCTACAAATAAACGCAAATTAGGCGGCCAAACAAAAATAATTTTTTTGGGGGGGGGGCACGCTATTTCTACATGAAATTTAATCTTTTTTACACCCTAAAAAAGCAAGAAAAAAATATTGAACATGAATTTTTTTCTTTGCGACATACTTTAAATGACAAAATACCAATTTCAAAATTTTCCCGATTTTTTCAATTTACGAACTTTGATTAAATTTTTTTATTTTTGTTTTTTATACTAAAATATAATCTTATAGTATGAAATCTCTATAAATACATATTAGAGAGACATTATAATAATATTATATTTATGTAAAAATCGTTTTATCTGAATAAATGGCTCAGATTTATCTGAGTATGTCACATTTAAAGTATGTCACAAAGAAAAAAATTTCATGTGTACGATTTTGTCCTGCCTTTTTAGGGTGTAAAAAAGAAGAAAATTCATGTAGAAATATGAAGAAAATTTTTTTTATTGGCCCCCTAATTGGCGTTTATTTGTAGAATTGCTCATATACTGATTTTTAAAATCATATATAGCATGGAATATAGCGAAAAGCATTTTGTCTTGTTTGCTTCTTTTATCTCACTTTCCCATCTCTAAACAAAGGCTAACACCAGCAGATGTTGCAACTGTAAGGGAGCAGTAGGGTCAATATTTATTTCCTATCAGAGGGAGTGCGTAGTTATTCATTAATTGTCAAAGGGGTAGATACTAGTCTGTGAGGATATGGCAATAATTTCAACTAGTTTTTACTCTCATTTCATTTAAAGAATCCTGCGAAGAATAAGCGTCACAAATTAGACTATGGCAAGCATTAAACGTAAAATCTTCATTGACGATAAAATGGCAAAAAACAGAAAAATTGAAAATGGATATAATCAAGTCGATATTTGCAATAAAAAAAGTTATAAAAGCTGATATTTAAAAAAATTAACACATTTTTTGTTACTATATATTATTTTTCAGTCATTTATTTAAATAATGTGAAATAAAAGGAGGCGTTTGGAATCATAACTTAAATTGTCTGAGGAACGGATATAGTGAACTGCTGGTTATAGTGAACCGAAATTTCGGTCCCTTGTGGGTTCACTGTAGCGGGGTTTGACTGTATATTGTATTTCTATAAAGGATTATTATTGTTGGAAAAGTAACTAAATATAGAGTTAAATATGCTATTACAAAAAAAATCGGTTTAAAGCATCTACAACTGTAAAATATTTTAACGTATCTTAACACCAAAAAGACATCAAGTATAAAATAATACTTAAAAAACTTCTTTAGTTGGAGCGAAAATACAGTTATCCACTCACTAAAAAGGGAAAAATAATATTTTCTAAATTCGAATTGTCAGAAAGTATTCTGTTTAAAATTTAATATTCAAAGTTTTTTTTTTTCTCAAATCACATTTTTTGACCTGGTGGGAAAATTATTCGACTTCTAATAAAGCTATTAAATAAGAGTTTTTTAATCGGTTTGATTATAGTATAGAGAATAACACAGTGAAAGCCTTTATAATAAGAATTTTTTTTAAAAATGGATTTTGCAACAATTGTGAACTTAAGACATATTTTTTTTTATCTGCATATCTTAATTTCATTTTTTAATGTTTCAAGTACAGAAATTTAAAAAATGAGCGCTTATAAAACACTATGTTTACAAAATATGCTTTTTTTTTAAAAAAAAAAATCATCCATAATTTGTTGTACTCATAAGCTGAAAAAGAATCTACCAAATTGGATTCCGTTTTAATTTTTTAAAACTACATTTAGGATGTTTTCGCTGCACTTAGAATTTAAAAAAAAATGTAATTTTTTTTAACAAAATGGCTGTGTTCTGAAAACCAAAATAAAAAAAAATAAAAAAAATGTGATACAATTGTATTTTTGAGTATTATACTTAAAACTAGAAAACTATTAAAAAATGCTTACTTGCAATGAAAACAAAATTCGTAGTATATGGGTGGAAAATTCTTTTTAGAGATACAGCAAATAGAGATATTTAAAAATGTTATCAAAAGCGCGATAACATAGATGTTTTCAGAAGCGAAAAGTCCCGCAGTGGACTGATCGTTAAGACACGGTTCCCAGCAGATCACCGAAGTCAAGCATCACTGACTGCGGTCAGTGAGCGGGTGGGTGACCACTTGGATNGGTCTTCTTACTACTTGTTATTTGAACCTCCAAAACTTTAAAACAGTATTATGTAAGTTGTCTACACTTTTTTTTACATAATTTGCAATTAGTAACAAATATGTTGACACTGTCATTTAACTAAAATTACGGATTTTGAAATTAATATGATTTCTTAAAAGGCAAGCGAAGCTTAAGTGTTCCTTCACTGGTTAGTTGACCCTATATGGGTGGAAAATTGTTTTTAGAGATACAGCAAATAGAGATATCTGAAAATGTTAGAGATATGAAAAGCGCGATGACATTGATGTTTTCAAAAGCGAAAATAATTCAAGTAGGGTGTGAATGCGTGCGAGATAGGTGTTAGCTTTGTGCATACGGGAGCGAGATAGAGGTTTAAATAACACTCTTTAAATAGTATCAAAAGCTCGATTCGGTGTTGGCTCGAAATTAAGTGTTTCTTCCCATAATTGTCTGGGTTGTTCAACATCAGAGAGATATTACAACACAGGTTTTAGAATACAAGGGCAATGATACATTATAGTATAAAATAAAGTACATGCGCTGCAGGAAGAAGATCTCCCGTACCCACGCATGTGACCTACGACGTCAGCGCTAGCTAATCTTTAGTAGCAAAATGGCGTATTAAAGTTGAACTAAGTTTCTATACATACGTTAGAATGTCAATGAAAGATAAGTTAATCGCACATTGAATGATTCTTTCTCTTCTACTTCCTTTACTTAACTTTAGATTCATTATTTGCTTATGTAGTTTATTGTTACCGTGATATATTTTTGTTTTGTGTACCTGGCAACGTCGATGCATAATTAGCTTGTTCTTATTCCACATGGCTTAGTGACTGTCTTTGTGTTAAGTCTCTGCGTAAAGTATGCTGTGAAAGAAGTGAAATCTTTGTGAGCGAATTTAGAATGTGTCGCTTAAGAGAATCGATACTTGGCTTACTCGAAGTCGAATGAAAAGAACAGTTTCTAACGTAAACAAATGCCACGTTTCAGTAACCAATCAGGATCGAGATACCCACACTACGTCACTTGCAAGCAAGTATCCCATTATAGATGTTGGTAAGAAAAAACTAATAGAATATTAAAGAAATCTTAAACATCATCAAAATTCTGACAAGCCAAGAAGGTCATCTTCGCGACTCACTGTTAATTATCCTCACCACAGAATCAGTAATGTGTGAAGGAAAATAAATAGGATTCACTGAACTCTCCAAGCATTATAATTATTTACTATAGCCCCGCCCAGCGGGTACTCCGCCCACTGTCAATTTCATATGTATAGAATATTTTTTCAAGTCAATGGGCCATCGGACATTAATTGTNACTTTGTGTATGGTGAGGCTAATTTGAGATACGCACGAATTCTGGATTTGAATGCAAACATAATTTTTTTCACAACTTTTCGCCCCTCTCGGGTGTCATCTCTCTTTTGTTGGTTTATAAAAATTGTCATTAAATTGTTTCCCCTACTCTTCTGCGATGAATTTTGTTCTATTTACTTTTTATTTTTATATATTTTTTAACAGCCGACCCAATTTTGGGTTTACGGTTACTCATGTTCTACTCTTAACCTAGTAATTTTGCACGAATCCAGAAGACAAGGAAAGTCCTGAATCAGCACTCCCAGGGGTATGATTTGCTATGGGAAGACTTTGTGACTCGACAGATTTATCATGCACCAGTCACCATTTACTACACGGGGGAGTCTTCGGTCAGAGGGGATCCAACCTACGACCTCTTGGGCATGGACCCGGTGCCCTAACCATCAGGCTATCCCGGCTCCTTGTCCTATTTACTTTTATTTTATTTTATTTCCGTCGTTGATCAGTCGACCCAATTGTTTGGGTTTACGAATAATAATGTTGTAGTTAGCAAGCAAGGCCATGGCAGGGATAGCTTGATGGGCAGAGCATGTCCGAGAGGTCATGAGTTCGATCCCTGCCGGACGAAGACTCTCCGTGTAATAACTGGTGACTGGTGCAAGCGAAGTCTGTCACAAAGTGCTCCATGTTCCCATAACTAATCAATACCTCTAGGGGTACTGAATTGGAGATTTATCGTTCTCTGGTTTGGATCAAAATTACGATCTACGGATGAAGGACTGGATGCATGAATGGGTTGTGACTGAAGTGTGTATAGTGTGGCTGAAGTAGCATTCTTAACCGCAGATGGCTCCACTGGAAAACAAGAAGCGCACTCTCTGTCTTAAACTCGTTTGGTTTCACCAAACAGTCTAAGACTTCGTAAATGAATGTCTGGTAATTTGATTCAGAGTTTTCACACAGTTAATTTACTAAAATGATATTCTTTTCTCTCTTCCAGCTTCCTTGCAATGGTTTAAATCCACTGAATGTAGAATACTTCTTCAGATTGTCTTTAAAAGCTCTGCGCCTGGATTACTTAGACCTGTATTTGATACACGTCCCAATAGCGTGCCAGGTAATAAACATCTAAAGATGATTTTATTATATAACCGTCCATGTTCAATTCCTCGGCCTTGTATATTATGAATAAAATCCAGAAGAAAAGGGAATTCATCAATCAAGTATCGGGGGCCTTCTCAGAAGAGTTTTTGAGTAGTTTAATAGAACTGCCCGCTTGTGCGTTACATGGAATGTAAAACAACGAAAACCTCCCACTGGCAAGAGAATTCTAACCCATGATCTTTTTGCCACTGAAGATATTTTGCATCGGATTTGCAACCCAAGGAACGGTATGTTGATACCGCAGTGCTAACGTAAAACATTCTCAGTGGAAGATAGATCATGGGTTAGATCCCTTCGTCTTTGCATAAAAGGGTAAGATTTTCGTGGTTTTCCTCTCCATGATGCGGAAAGGTAGATCAGTTCAACACAAAGATCGCCACGTTTGTTTTAATGCTTAATCATGGGGTTTCCTTATCTTCTGGGTTGGGCTCAAAAAGACATATCTCTAAAGGGACATCTTCGACATATATCTAAAGGAATAATGTATCATTCCACTCATCAATGTTCGAACCACTCAATAAAAATTTTAATATCGAGCATTCCTGTTGAGAACTAATCAATTTAATCTATTTGAAAGCTGTTTGTTTTTCAAAAAAATAAATAAATAAAAGTATTACTAAATTAAGAATTATTTTTTTTTGCATTATTTTAAGGAAAAAAAATTTCAATGAAACTTTAAAAAAAAAATTCTTATACTTAAAGCTTAAAAGCCTAGGTAAACTGCAGATTAACCAGGTTAATGGACGGAATCAAGAGTTTTTCCGAAATTTGCCTTGTTAATGTTCGCATTAAAAGGACGGAGAAACTTCTCGTCGCAAATTCTCTTTCACCTTCATAAATAATTTAAAGTATAGAAAAAGTGAGTTCAGACAAGCGTAAACCACGAAGTTGCCGACACTAAAAAGAATTTTTTTAAATATCAGAATGCAAATAAATTATGAGAAAATAACTTAGGAATACACAATGGAGAAGTTCTTTTCCAATAATTTGTTTGGAATTTTATATTTTAAAATTTTTTTTCCCGACAGTTAAAACTTCATTGCTTACACTAGGTTTTAAATTTTTAAAGAGAGTTTTTCCTGTGGTATGGCTTCCCTTTCAAGGGTCTCCTTATCTTTAAAGTTCGAAAGTTTTTTTTTTATTCTATCAAATAATGTACTGATTGCAGTCACTTGCGTGTTTTAAATAGCAAAAAATTAGATGAATTTTGTTAAGCCCTTCCGTCTCGCTCCCGTGAAAATGACAGGGTGAGTTTTCGCCCTATATTTCTCGCTCCCGTGATATTGACGGGCTGGAGTGTTCAGTAGTAACGCGCCAATAAGAATAATACTAATTAATTTCTTTTGCCCGGAAAACATTTTATTTCACATTTTACACACCAGATGGCAGTACCAGGATATTTTTAAGGTAATTGCATATAGTTATTTTATTTTAAACTATAGATGTTAGCACTAATCAAATACGTAATACAAACACAAAAACCAAAAAAAAATAGGCACTTTTATGACCGTTTTCTTGAAAATTAAGTTTTTACGCTGCAGTTTTTACGGCAACGACCTTATTTTCACTAGAACAAGTGCTAGCGTCTGGAATATGTGCATATTATCTAGGTAGTTTGCAGATTGAGAAATGAAACAATAGTTTGCCATTTTATCTGATTGCCCTAGTTAATATGCATTTTGTCTGAAAAAATCAGTAAAATAATAGATGACTACACTTTAGCGTTAGCATATATGATACACTATTGTATAGGGTAAATCAACCAGTGAAGGAGCATTTCATATATATTGATTAAAAATAAGAATTTGCAAGTTTTTCTTTCGATTGATTGGTAACAATAGCTAACTGCCAAACAATAGGAAGTCATCTAGCAATGTTTTGGTTTACCTGGTTAAATAGACTTCTCTGGAAAAATTTGTGAATTTGCTATTATCTCTGCAACACCTTGTTTCTTTAAAAAAATTATAAGGTGAGTGTTTGTATTTATATGTTTGAAGTGGAATTAATTGCATGTAACAGTTTTATTTTTCTCACTGTGAAAATAAGAATTCAAAATATAGTTATTGAATATTGAAGTTACGTTTTATTTTTTAAGCATCATAGCATAATGAAGTACTGAGATAAGGGGGTGTTTAAACCAGTGAGGGAACAGGCATGTTCCTTTACTGGGCGTAGATTTCCCAGTGAATGAACAGTATGTGTTAATATGTTGACACTTTAATTTTAAATTCAGGGTTACAAAATGAAAGTTAACATTTTCCAAGCATTTATATGTTATAATTTCAAGAAAAGGCTTGTTTTTAAGTATTTGCATGGCTTATAAATTCATAAAGAGCATTAAAAAATAACCAAAATTAAGTTTTCCTTTACTGGGTGTTCATTCACTGGTAAGAGCTGTTCCTTCACTTGGTCTTCTTACTACTTGTTATTTGAACCTCCAAAACTTTAAAACAATATTATGTAAGTTTTCTACAATTTTTTTACATAATTTGCAATAAGTAACAGATATGTTGACACTGTCATTTAACAAAAATTACGAATTTTGAAATTAAAATGATTTTTTAAAAGGCAAGCGAAGCTTAAGCGTTCCTTCACTGGTTAGTTTAACCTACTTGTGTATCCTTCTTTTGCAGAATTATGAGATTTGTTAGCTAAGGACGTAAAAGCTCTGTTTTTCGATAAGTTATTTTTAAAAAAAATCCAAAATAGCTCTGCATTTTAATTTATAAAGTCTAGTATAACTCTTTTCCATCAATTTACTGTCTCAAATGATCTCGGGCAAATGAAAAAAGTTTGATATTAGTCTTTGTATATGTTCACATTTTCATCATCTGAAAAATCATCTGCATGCAAATTCATCAGCTATCGTACATACAAAGCGCGTCTTCAGTCCCACAAATAGCAATACTCCCAAACAAATATTGGCAAACTTTCAATCACAGCAGATTATTATTATTTTCTGTTTCACTTCCGGCCGAATAAAAACTTGATAATAAAACAAAGCGTATTGACGAATTCTGCTATGGCCGAGTTAATTCTGTTATGGCCGAGTTATGGCCGAAAATAAATATTTGCAATGTATACATACCAGAATTAACTCGTTATAATCAGATAATGCATTCATGGATAAAATACATTCATAGATAAAATCCATTCATAGATAAATACATTCATTGATAAAATGGGTTGGAAACTTTGCAATCATTAAACAACAACAACAAAAAAAAAGAGGAAAGATAAAAGAAGAGAAACATTGGCTTTTGTTCTGCAGTTTAAGATCCGCAGTCAGAGACAACCATAGCAAGATTCAACACCGCTACTACACAAACCTCTGTAAATAGACTTTTTATAATTTTTTTAAAATTTTATAACCGTCGCCGACCCAATTTTATGGGTTCATGACTACTAATGTTCAACTCCGCAGCCTTGTCATTTTGAACCCAATCCGGAAGACAAGGGAACTCCTCGATCGAGTATTGGGAGAAATTTGCCTTTGTGGAGGACTTTTTGATTGAGCTAACCCGCATTTTCGTTACATGGAGAGCAAGACCACGAGAACCTCCCACGGTTAGCCTAATGGCAAGGGGATTCTAACCCATGATTCGTCTACCACTGAGGATATTTCACGCCAGCACTGTGGGGTCCCGCAGTGGACTGATCGTTAAGACACGGTCCCCAGCAGATCATCGAAGTCAAGCATCACTGGCTACGGTCAGTGTGCGGGTCGGTGACCACTTGGATCTGCCTGCGTAGGGACCGAGGGTGTGCGGTATGGGACCTCGTTAAGCTGTTCTACCGTAAAGTGCTCGACTTCGCGTGCAGGTCGTTGGGCTACCGAAGCGGGGGTGCCATCCCCTCTGCAGAGGATCAAAATTGTGATGGCATGTCTTCGGATCATCCTCAGGGATTTTTTCCAGACCGTCGCCAATAGCCCATTGTGCAGCTCTAGTGCTACGCAAATGAACAACAACAACAGCCAGCACTGTGGTCGGTGCAAGCCGGATGCGGAATTCGTATTGACTGGGATTCGCACCGGTTCGCTGCAATGGAAGGCGAACGCTCTATCCCCTGAGCCATCGCGGCTCCTGTAAATAGTCAGACTACTTTCAATTGGTTTCCGAATTGCTTGCGTTTAAATTAAGGACTAAAATTGCCCACTCTAAATGTTTTTTCCTTTTTTCAGCGTACAGACGATGATTATGAAGTCTATCCATTCAGAGATGGGGACGTTCTCACCGAAATCGTCAACCTAACAGAAACTTGGAAGGTATTGCTTTGTGTCATCTTCTTTTCTTTCTCAATAGCTCGATGGCCCGGGGCGGGTTCCGATCTTCTTCTGTCATTTTTCCAACCACTCAAACTTTGAGCAGTTGCAATTTATTGTTGTCAGATACCTTTTTTTAAAAAAATCGAGATACCATTCGACACAATCAATCCAATTTTGTCTGGGCAACTCAAAAGAGTCATACTTTTGAAATTTTATCAGAAGCTATTCAACCGATTTAATTTAAACTTTGTCAATTATAACTACATAGAGGAAAAGATGTAAAAATCAGTATATCTCACAATTCATTCTTTATTAAAAAAATTTTTAAGCAATAAATAATTATTTTAAGAGCTAAACTAAACTCAGTGGCGTGAAAACCCATAGAGGGCCAAGGCTTACTGTGCCCATCTCAGTTTTCTTGACCATGGGCTCTGGGGTGCAGGAGCAGATGTTCCGTTCAGGTGGTCAGCCGAACGCGGACTCCCTAATGTTTAGTTCCTAAGCATGCTTGGTACTCATTTATCGACCCACTGAAGGGATGAAAGGCTGAGTCAACCTTACCCGGCCTGAGGATTGAACTCAGGACCTGTGGCACGGGAGAGCGAAGCACTACCAGAAAGCCATCGGGGGTCAAAAATTTATTCAAAACTGCTTTATGCGTGATCTTTAGATAAAGGAATTTCATAATTTTGTTCCAAAAGTAAAGTTTCGATAAGTCCGGAAGTAAAGTTGCTAAGAGTGGAATCTTTTTTGTGAGAAATGATCCCTAATTTAAAGATTTGTGAAGCAGCTGGTGAGTTAATATTTGTAAAATTATAAGCGTAAACATTATTTTTTGCAGGTGATGGAATCCCTCGTAGATAAGGGCCTTGTACGGTCTCTTGGCCTCTCTAATTGCAACAGCCGCCAAATTCAGACCATTTACGATGCTGCCAGAATTAAACCAGCAAACGTACAGGTAGGCCATTCACTTCACTTGTAAATCAATTCATTCCTTTTAGAAACTCCTCCTGATTTCATTTTTACAAAACTATGAATAGAGATAATCGAACCTCATCCATTTGTTCAACCTCATCAGCCCCGAAGCTAACTTCCCAATAAATGCTGTCTCTTAGCGTAAGACAGTTTCTTCTACGAAAGTTGAAACTATTAACCTAAAATACAGTCCCTTATGAGACCCACTATAAGATTCTATGTAAAATCTCAATAATCAGGTGATACTCTATACAGCTTTATTGTTTTTTACGCTGATGAAACCGGTTTGTACGTTCGTGCAACAATGGGTTAAATGAGACGATATCTATACATAAACGTGGCTGTGTGTGTGTGTGTAATCACAATATATCGCCCCAGAAGCCTCGCCCAGGCACGAAATAACTCGGCACATAATTGTGTTTTGACGTAATGAAGAAGTATTTTTTTTTCTTTTTCAAAAATTTGGATTAGTTTTTTAGTTATCAGTCATTTTGTAAGAAAATCTATGCTTTTTCGTCTTCAAAAGCCATATTCAAAAAACTATTAAAAAATGCATTTACTTTTCTCCACTCTTATAAATGTATGCTAATGCTAACCTTGCAATTGAAATATTAATTTTCGACAACTTAAACCAATAATATACGAANTATTTTGATATTTCATGTATTGTATTTAATATACATGCATTTGTAATTTATTATAGTAACGGTCGAGCTGTTTACTTTTACAATGGATGATTTTGAAAAATTAAAGTCCAAATGAGCTGTAATCAGACAGCTGATTACAAAATTAATAAATAAAATTGACAAATTGTTATCAGAAATACTTCCTGATGATACTTTGTATGATTCACTAAATCAGTTAATTGAGAAAAAAAAACGAAACTTTAAAGGATCTAGATTTGAAAATTGAAAATTATTTTGATAAGAGCGAGGAATTAGAGAGTGAAATTATACAAAGTCAAGAGTATCAAGATCGAGTAGTGGCTTCTAAAGGCAAAATTGAAAGATATTTACTGAAATGCCAGACTACAAGACAGGAAGTAACGGCTAGTGGTAACAATAATTTACAAGAAAATTTAACTTATGGAAATATCTCGCACGTTGCTAACGTTTATTATAATCTTCCCCTTAACGTCCGGCAGGTGGCGCAGCGCCGCAACTGTTGTGTCTGTTTTGTTTTTGCAAATGTAAGAGAGCGTAGAGGTGCGCGCTAATGAGCCTGTGCAATTATGATATCTGTAAATATTTTTGTAAATAAATAATTAATATAATCAAACTCTTACTTCCTCCCCCCCCCAAACGAGCTACTCGACACATGAACAAATGAAATGGGATTACAACAGATGGAACATGACCGAATTTCGTCAAGCAATTCTAGAGCCCAAGAAGTATCAGAGAAACGTCAAAGAAGATTAGAAGAGGTTTTCAGCTATTGGCAAATGATGATTTCGAAAGCAACTTTTGTATGCTTTTACAATTTCTGAGGCCCTTTTTTTAAAAAAAAAAAAAAAAAACAAGTCTCCAACTGATAGTTATATTATAGGTTAGGTTACCATAGGCCTTAGGTTACCATAGCAAAGTTACATTTTCAAACATCCTCAAGAGCTATAACACATCTGCAGCAGAACTGGATATGAAGAAAAAATTGCAGGACAGGAACACTTTAATTGTCCACTAATCTTCAGATGTTTTAAAAAACTTTATTTGTGGAAACCTTTAGCGTGGCGGACAGCTGGCCGCCTTTGGCGGCTAGTATAATATAAATTTGACGATTGGATACATTAGACGATCAGGTATTATAATAGTATATTATAATAATGAGACCAAATTATTAGACGCACTGTAGTGTTTTAATAATGACATTTTTTGCACGAGTTTATATACAATACTTCTATATATAAACATACATGTAATGAGTTTTTATTCGGGAGACTTTTTACAGACTTCCTATTTGTATTTATTTTTTAACGTATTGCATTACAATGTTAACCCATTGATACACGTAACGTAAACAAGTGCAAACAGTCAGATAAAAACACTAAAGCTGTATAGTATCACCTGATAATTAAGATTTTACATAGAATCTTATAATGTCTTATAATATGGCCAAGTACTGTATATGAACTATTAAGAATTCTATATGCTTACGCTAGTGCCGCATTTCCAACATAAACTTCTGTACTTTAAATGTTTATTTTAGGTCAAATTTGACCAGTAAGTAGTGCAGAAGATTCTATTTCCCTTTTTATTAAGATCTATTAGCGAACACGAATAATTTTCTTTGTTAATCATTTTTTTCCTTCAAATTAAAAGTACATTGTTGTAACAAAATCGGTGAGTTCGCCAACATCATGGGGACGGGGAGGGTAAAAGTGTGGAGAGTGGAGAAATCGCGTAACCTTAAAACTTACAAAGACAATGTACGTCTTTGCTATGGAGTATATTTATGCATTATAATAGTTGATGAAAGAGACTAACGATTGCTCAATTTGTTCAGGTGGAATGCCATGCTTATCTGCCGCAGGAAGAACTGTTCGAATTCTGCAAGAACCTGCGAATAACATTCACTGCCTATTCCCCCCTAGGCTCACCCGGCCTCCCGGATTACGTGAAAAAACACCACCACCTGTAAGTCTTGTTGTACTCCTCCCTACCCTTAAATAATATACTGTATCATATCATTATGCCATAATGACGTCACACTAGCGATAGGACCGAATTGCATTGTCCATTAAAATTTCATGACAAGGCGGAATTTTGCTGAGCATACAAGATTTTGAGAAAAGAAACCTTATAATGAGCTAGATTTAAGGTTATTTTGACCTTGAGACTAGCTTTATTCAGGGATTTTTTTCACGCTAAGGCAACCTCGATTTAAGGTTTTCATATCGAAGGTTGTTTTCTAAAGTTCTGGATTAGGGAAAAATGCGTAGAATAGAGCAGATTGTGACAGATCTCGTTTTAACCCTTTCGAAGGCCGTGGGAAGTATGCTCACCACCACTTTTAATTTAGGTTTCCATCTGCTAATAGCCTTCAGCTTTCTTGGAGTGCGTTGGAATAAAATTGGTAACCATTTGTTAGTTTAAAAAAAAATGTATAAAAGTTATAAAATACATAATTCCTTTTGAAGTGTGTCGCATTTATGAAAATTATTTTATAAATAAAGAAAAATAAAAGTCAACAAGTTCCTAATAGGTAGTGTTAAATATATTTACCACCAAAAAAGGGCATTTTTATGAACTAAATGAGTTTTTTTTTCTTCTTATATCAATTACTATTCTTAACACAATTTCAATTCCAAAAATACTTTAATTTTCCTTTACTAGAAATAAATGGCGCATTAAAGGGTTAAGATTAGAAGGTTTACACGTAAACCGCATGAAAACATTTTTAGGTTTACGTTGAAAGGCTTTTGCTGAGCGAAAATGAACCTAATTTTGCTATCTGGAGATGAATAAATTGATACCGAAAAAAAGTAATAATCGTCTCATTTACGAAAATTCCATTGAATTAAATTTTATTTTGTGGGAGCCACATTCACATTTTAAGTAATCATGTTTTTGGCAAATTCTCACTAAACACATTCACGAACTTCTCCTACCCTTACGTGAGGAAGTTGTTCTTTGCTTTCCCCGTTTGCTCTTTCACTTTCGTTGCAGTAGTCTCTAATAATTTCCTCTCCAATAATTTCTAATAATTTTAAATTCAAATAAACAATGTACCTTTGCAAGGAACGTAATTTGTGTTTCATAAATTTTTGATTAGAAAATTGGGTGCTCGAAATTCTTTTAAAAAGTTAACAAGAGATACTGACAGCTGACTTTTCGAATGATCCAGTTTATAGATTCAACGTGACGCCATTGTTCTTTACAGGGCCGCATTACCCATTAGACCAGACTAGGCCCCAATGAGTAGGGGCCCCCTTAAAAAGTTTTTTTGAAAATAAATTTTAAAAAATTAAGAAAATCAATGATTTAAAAAAAAATCAATTTCAAATATATATTAATAAAATGCGATAACTTTTTTACTTCTAATTTAACGAAATGAAGTAAAATTTGATTTATTATTATTTATTTTTATTTTAAATTTGCTTTCTTACATGAAAAGATATATAAATACTTTTATATTTGAATAAATAAAAAATATACGAGAAAAAAATTTAATCTAAGGGACTCAAAAATTTGAAGGACCAAAGACCCAACGTACGCTTAATGCGGCTCTGCCGACACTTTTTACATTCCTTGTAACTAATTACACGTTCCTATTATTTTTCAATAACATATGTGTATAAAATTTTATTTAGGGAAATCAAGCCCATAAAGCTATTAGATGATGAAAGACTTCTATCCATTGCAGAAAAACATCGGAAAACAAAGGCTCAAGTAAGTGAATTTTACTTTTATTAAAGAACAAATAAATATTTGCATTCAATTGATACTTACCACAAGCAATATTGTTCCCACAGTCGTAGTACAGCCAACCCAATTTATGGGATTTGCGACTGCTAATGTTCAACCTCGTAGCCTTGTCATTTTGAACCGCATTCAGAAGACAACGGAACTCCTGGATCAAGTATTGGGAGAAATTTGACTACGGGGTAGACTTTTTGACAAAACTAACCTGCATTTGCGTTATATGGTGAGGAAAACCACGAAAATCTCCTATGGTTAGCCTTACGGCAAGGAGACCCATGATTCGTCTTAAACTGAGAATAGTTTATGTAACCACTGTGGTCGGTGCGAGCCGGGTGTGGAATTCGTATTGATAGCTATCTCTGGGATTCAAACCCTGTTCACTTCATTGGGAGGCGAGCGCTCTACCCCTAGTAGATCAGCGAAGTCCAGCATCACTGTATGCGTTCAGTGAGCGGTTGGGTGATCACTTTGATCATCCTGCTAATGGACCAAGAGTGCGAGGCACCGGTCCTCATTAAACTTTCAGATCTTTGGGATACTAAAGAAGGGTTCTCTCAACAGAAGATCAAAATTGTGATCTTTGATGTCCTCAGGAATGTTTAACAGACCGCCGCCATTAGTGCGACATAAAAGAAGTGCTACTATAGCTTCTACAAAAACGTTGTTGCTTTAACCTTATTTATTTAGTGTTATATTATAATGAGTCATCTCGGAAGGATATAGAGCGCGTAAAATAAAAAAAACTATGAATAACTTATAATCTAATGAAGGGATTTTCATGTACTAGGAGTCAATTGGTTCGAGGGGTTGACCTCAAATAGGCTTATTAGTTAGTACAGACAATATTTTAAGTGAATAAATACGACACAAAAACGCACTTTTTCAGAATAAACATACCTCTTTTTACCTAAGGATTATGATTTTTGACCCCAAAATACAGACGATAGTGTACAAAATGTAGATGAGCTGTGGAAAACTAAGACACCATAAATAGCGAATTTCGCCAGGTGACGAGAACTTTTTAATCGAGAAAAATTTGCAAGCATTTAAGAGATTTGATTTCCCGAAAAATTTCAGCATAAAATATAATTTTTAATAATTAACTATTGTGTGTCCTATGCTTCCGAACATATTCTAAAAACGTCACCAAAAACATTCTTTTTAAGTATCAAATTTTTTTTTTGTTGCTGCTTAAAATGAGTGGTCGGAAACTACTTTGTTGCAAACGTAGTTGACTACAACTACTTTTTTTTCAAATGTAATGACTACAAATGACCACTTCGCTACTTTAAGGAATGAAACTTTGGTGGGGAAATTAATTTACGCATTGTGTTCAAAATGGTTTTGAATAAAGAAAATTGTCTTATATTTAAACATGAAGAATTATTTGGGAGCCTAAGAAGAGAGACTAACATCACAAAGTACATCGCTAAGCTTAAGAGCTGTGGCTCCTACAATAGAACGTCATTATTTGTATCAAACTGGACAAACAATCAGAGGCTGAAGAGGGACAGCCCTCTTAGTTTGATGGAGAGCCCTGCCCTCTTTTTAATCTATTGACACCTAATACTTCTCTTAGTAATGTAGTTTTTAAAGATGACTTAAATATCGATTTTACCAAGCAAAATGAGCATCCGGAGTTGCTACTTCAGCTGGCTCTCGAGGTAATCAATAATATCCGTTCGGATACAGACGGAATCAAGTCTGACTCTGGTAGAACGGGCAATCCTAACCATGGACTCTGGCGTACCTGACATATGGATATTAACGGATAGCAAGAGTTCAATTCAATATTTGAAGAACTGGTCAAGTGTCTTGGAAAATTTGGGTCAGGAAATCGTTATCAAATTGACTACTTTGTCTCAGATCGGCTCGGTGCACTTGCTGTGGATCCCCTCCCATGTGGGTATTTATGGGAATGTGATTGCTGATCGGGTTGCCAAGGAAGGGGGTGAACTTGCTACTCCCCCTTCCTCTAAACTACTGGTGTCTGAGATTCACTCCCTGAAGTTAGCTAGGGTAAACTCAGCATTGAAACACCCACCAGATCATGATTGGTATGCCCCGGATTATCCCTGCAGTACTCTTGTCCTAGATTTGCTCAAACAGCTTTGTCAAGACTTAGAACCGGCCATATAAAGTGTTTGACCTTCAGATCGAAAGAAAAGACTTATGACTATTGTCATTGCTCGGCCATCACTTCCCCTTTGGATCGATCCCCATCTTCTGGATTGCATTGGTGCCTTTGTGAGGCAACTGATGAGTGATGGAGAGACTGTCTATGACTTGCTGATGTGACATGATCTTCTCGACTTGGTCTAGGGCTCTACACCAAGGGGATAGGTAACAACAACAACAGAATTATTTGGGTATTTATTCATGTTTACATGAGCTAGTTTGTTATTCTAAAATATTTTTTTTCTTTCGAATTTGTTAACTTAAACTTTTTATGTCCTTCTTGGCATCGAATATTCAATTTTAGAGATGCTAGTAAGTTATCAAATACTTGCAATTTCGTTAGGTGTTTAATGCTTTTTTATTTCTTCAAAGAAATTAAATGCATCGAAAATATGTTTTTTTCCTTTAAAATAACATCAAGGTTTCACGAGTGTATGTACATTTACATATAAAAATGTGATAAATTATCTATATCCGGGTTCGAATCTCAGTGATGGCCATCAATACGAATTCCGCGCCCAGTTTGAACTGACCCCAATGATGATGTAAAATATCTTCAGTGGCAGACAGATCATGGGCTACAAGCCCCTTGCCGTGGGAGGTTTTCGTGGTTTTCCCCTCCATGTAAAGTGAATACTGGCTCCACCAAAACTTTTTCCACTAGGGCTAATTTCTCTTAATACTTGATCCAGGTGTAGTCCTCTGGATTGGGTTCGAAATTCCAAGGCTACGGAATCGAACATTTCAGGGTATCCGCTCACCTGGAAAGTCATGAAAAATCAAGGAAAGTCATGAATTTCAGTATTGAACAAAATTTAGCATGAAATGTCATGATTTTTTTTTTTTTTAAAAATCATGGAAAGTCATGGATTTAGGTCTCCGAAAAATTTAATGTTTAAAATGGAATCCCCTCCCCCAATTTCATCTTGTTCCAAACATCTGAATTCCTAACAAAATCACCACTCAATCATATTTTATTAGAATATAAAATGATTTTATCATGTTCTTTAAAAATTATGGTGTTCTTTCAAAAAATGACAGAAAAAATATAATTTCTGGAGCGAATTATCTTTTAAACTTCTGTGATTTAAGAATCTTTTATTATTTATTTTGTTTTAAATTTTATTCATTTAAAATTCTAGGTGAAGCAAACCAGTCATAGGCGAATTTATTTTATTCCGAAATGAGAACAGAAAAATTAGGAGTATTTCTTTTCTTTCTGCTGAACAAGAAAAGTATCTTTAGAATATAATTCTGCGGAAAAAAAATTATTTGCTTTTGTATTTTTTCCCCAGCTATATTATTGTTTCAACTCTTTCTTTACTCTGTTTTGTAAAATTTAAAATCTATAAATATGAAGATAGGGAGTATAACAGTTTTGGTTGTACCTATCATTTCAATTCATGCTATTATAATGCTTTTAAAAATTTATTATCACGTTTTTGTCGGGAGAAAGTAGTCACTTCGTAAAGTCATGAAAAATTCTTGGAATGAGACATGGAAAATCATGAAAAGTCATGAATTTGAAAATCTAAAATGTAGCAGAGTCGTGAACTCGGCTGCTCAATGACTGTTAGAAAGCAAAATAAAGTAAAATGTAGTAATTTGTGTTTCAGATACTGATACGGTTCCCAATCGAGGGAACAGTTTTGGTTATACCTATCATTTCAATGAATGTTATTATAATGCTTTTTTAAATTTATTGTCGCGTTTTTGTCGGGAGAAAGTAGTCACTTCGTAAAGTCATGAAAAATTCTTGGAATGAGACATGGAANATTTACGCATTATGTTCAAAATGGTTTTGAATAAAGAATATTGTCTTATATTTAAACATGAAGAATTATTTGGGAGCCTAAGAAGAGAGACTAACATCACAAAGTACATCGCTAAACTTAAGAGCTGTGGCTCCCACAATAGAACGTCATTATTTGTATCAAACTGGACAAACAATCAGAGGCTGAAAAGGGAACAGCCCTCTTAGTTTGATGGAGAGACATGCCCTCTTTTTAATCTATTGACACCTAATACTTCTCTTAGTAATGTAATTTTTAAAGATGACTTAAATATCGATTTTATCCAGCAAAGTCAACATCCGGAGTTGCTACGTCAGCTGGCTCTCGAGGTAATCAATAATATTCCTCCCGGAGCCTTGGTCGTCTATACGGACGGAATCAAGTCTGACTCCGGTAGAACGGGCAGTGGTGCTTTTATGAGGACAGGTGTAGGAGAGCTCAACCGCCGACTTAGAAAAACCCGGATCATGCCTCGGTCTTTCGATCAGAGTTAATTGCCATAAATGAGGCCTTGAGCCTAGCCATGGACTCTGGCGTATTTGACATATGACGGATAGCAAGAGTTCAATTCAACATTTGAAGAACTGGCCAGGAAAATTTGGGACAGGAAATCGTTATCAAATTGACTACTTCGTCTCAGATCGGCTCGGTGCACTTGCAGTGGATACCCTGCCATGTGGGTATTTATGGGAATGAGATTGCTGATCGGCTTGCCGGGAGTGAACTTGCTACTTCATCTAAACTGTCTGAGGTTCACTCCCTGAAGTTAGCTAGGGTAAACTCAGCGTGGAAACACTCACCAGATCATGATTGGTATGCCGCCAAATGCCCCGGATTATCCCTGCAGTGCACTTGTCCTAGATTTGCTCAAACAGCCTTATCAAGACTTAGGGTAGGCCATATTAAGTGTGAAAGCGAAAGAAGAGACTTATGACTATTGTCATTGCTCGGCCATCGCTTCTCTATCTCATCTTTTGGATTGCATTGGTGCCTCTG